TTTTATTAGATTAATACTGATTATTCACAAAGATAACATGGTTCCATATAGTTTTTACAAATACAGCACTTATAATGTAGAAATACAGTTGTTTTATTTTTTTTACAGGGGAATTTCTTTACCATTAATATATCCTGTTCATATGCCCTGAAACCCATCTTGCAATTCCAGTGATAAAGCCCAGTATGAGCTTTGTGTAGGTCCAAGCAAAAACAAATGTGGGCAGAGAGAAAACCTACATAGGCTTGGAGTCTGGGGCTCTCAGGAGAAATCAAGACTCCCAGGAGAGCTGACTCAAAGCCAAGCCCCTCCTGAGGCCAGGGGGACCGAGGGACTTACTTCAACAATTCTGGGCAGAACTGTGCCATCTTTCACTCAAAGTGGCCTTGTGCAAAACACAAATGGTCGGCAGACTTCCGGAGGTTGGTAACAGGGTTCATTTGATCAAAACAGAGTAGCTGGCTGGAAGTCTGGCCCTTGCGTCTGGTCAGAATTATATTGCTTTTGGCCACAGATGGTTGCAAGATGGTGGCACATATGGTGATTTCCGAGTCTAGCACCACGAGTATTGTCATCTCCTAATAGGAGGCTCAGATCGCAAGCAAGCCTTTCATAGCTCCCAGAGCAGGTTCTGAACAGATGCCGGGAGCTCTCCTGGGGGAGGCACATGACACCAATCCCAGTCACGCAGGAGAGGGGACTGCTCAGCAGGAGTCTGCAGTCCCAAGACCAAGCTGCTGCTGGAACCCAGAGCCTGATTTCCAGGGCACAGTTGCATTCTTAATACAGATTTCTTATATCCTGGGTGTGCACATGCACTTACTGAGGCAAATAACCCATATTCTCTGGAGGAATCTCTCATTCTCTATTAGAGGTAAGTACATATGTCACCTTCAAAAGAGGGGAGAATGCAGGGCTGTGAGGATCCTTGTGGCCTGTTCCCAGCATGTCACCACCTGCACAACTCACCACCAGTTCCCTGGAGCTAGCTACCAGCTTACCACCAATTCAGCTCCCGAGAGGCTGGGAGCTAGCGATCCAACAAGAATCATGTCTCTCTCACCTAAGCAGAGATGGCCAAAGCTCAGTTTTTAGAACAAGGTAAAACTCTCTTCTTTTCCAATTTGTAGCTTCTTCTACCCAAAGATTTATTTAAATTATCTCATGATTTTAGCTCAGATTCTTGACAATAGCTATAGACAAGTCACCAGAATTCACCTGCTCCTGTTCCTTCCTCTGCACTACCATGAGAATAAACTCTCACAAGTATGCCTCCAAAGGCATCATGATCTAGCCCATAGTTCTTCAATGGATCTCTATCCTATTCCACAGGGACTCTCAACACTGGTTGCACATGCAAATCATCCAGGGGCCTTTGAAAAACTAGCTACATGCAAGTCATATGCACATTCTCGCATACGTAAGGAGAGGCTGACTTTCATTCTGTCTAGCATTAATATTCAGAAGATCCCACTAAATAAATAAAACTTCGTAAACCTATCAGAGAAATGAAGAACTTGAAGAATAACCAATTTTCTTTTTCTGACGCAAGAAATCAAAATACGGAAGAAAGGAAGGAATAAAAAGGAAGAAAGAAAAACAAAGAAGGAAAGAAAGGACAAGTAAAAGAATAAAAGAAGAAAGAAGGAAAGGAAGGAAGGGAGGGAGGGAGGGAGGGAGGGAAGGAGGGGGGAAGGGAGGGAGGGAAGGAGGGGGGAAGGGAGGGAGGGAAGGAGGGGGGAAGGGAGGGAGGGAAGGAGGGGGGAAGGGAGGGAGGGAAGGAGGGAGGGAAGGGAAAAAGAAAAGCAAAGAAAGGAAAAGAAAAGAAAAAAATGAGGCCTGTTAATAACTACAGTGTTGTTTAGACTACTCTGCCAGGGGTCATCCATTCCAGTTAAGAAACTTTATTATATTCCAAAATAAAATTATAAATTCTTAATTTCAATATGCAAAAAGCCTTCAAATGACTGTTTCTTTGGTGATGAGAAAAGATTATTCCCACATATCAGACCTCACCAGGCTTTCACTATAAAATGAGAGTATATATTCTTTTCTATCCAAGTCTTTTTAGTTTTAAGAGTTGAGCTCTCTCTCTGACACCTGCTCAGTCTGGTGTGATTACAGGCCACTGCTCACTGCTCACTGCTCGCTCCTGGTGGCAGGTGATCCCCTACCTCGGCCTCCCAAGCAGCCGGGACTGCAGGTGTAAGCCACAGCATCTGGCTCTTACAGCCGAGTTTTTGTAGTATGCAATATAACCTATTCCCTTGATAGATATTAGCTTGCCTCAAAATGTTTCCCAGGTGTTTTTGCAAGTTTTGGAGAAGTTGTTGTCATCTAGAAAGCATTCTTCATGTTCTTCCCTTCCAGGCTTTTCCTCTTGTCACTAGCTGCTGCCTCAATAGCTGATGACTCACTGATTGCTGGTCTGCTGCGCATGGCTGCATGGGCTGGGGGCCAGCACTGTCCCACTGGACCTCATAAAGAGTATACTACTAATTATGGTGACCAATGTGCATTCTTATTGCCAATATTGATTGCAATAATACATTTACAATCAGATGTGTCCAATTAAGGCCAAAAGTATCCACAGTATATTCTTGGATATTGGCTGTTATAGAAGATGCTGAGCTCACAGAATTGCCTTTAGAGGGTGGAGCTAGTGTCAATCACAATGGCACTGGATTTAGCACTTGCTCCTGGTCTGAATCCACAAGTTCAGGGCAAAACATTCTTGTTGCTGGAATCCCTCCATGCTGCTCTATGTTGTACGGTCTGGGCCCAAATCATAGGTCCCAATGCAAAGAAGAATTTCCTTCATTCTCATTCAGCAATCTCCCTCATTTCCTACCAAAAAATCATCAAATTTCTAGAGCTGTTAAGCCAGAACTATCAACTCCAAGCAATTACAGTATATCATTTGTTTGAAAAACATTAACTTAGAAGTTTTCCAAAGGGTCCTGTGCATTGCCCGGTAGAGTTTCCTGTGATAACAGAACTATCCCATGTCTGTAACTGCAACTAGTGCCAGGTGGTTGTTCAGCACTTGAGAACGTGACTCCTCTGCTGGAGGACCCATTTCTTTCTTGCTTTTTAAATTTTAATTCATTTGAATTTCACTAGCCTTGTTGACTAGTGACTATTGTATTGACAGCATAGGTCTAGGTTATTGAGTATTTGTGTGTTTAAAGACAGGTTATTTATCTTTTATAAAATCAGAATTACCAAATCAACCTATTAGCCAAACACGAACCATAACTGTCTTTCTAAATCATGGATCTGATTATCATCCACCCATCTTGTCAGTTTTTCTCAAAGTATTCCCTGGCCCTCATCTGTGAAGATCAATTCATCAGCTACACATCCAGTGTCATGGTGGGCCCAGCCCCACCTCATTCACCTTACTTCCGAGGATTCATCAAAGCAACATAACCAGCTTGAGCACAACACAACCCTGACTTAAATGACTTACTAGCTGAATTGACCTTGAAATAACAAAATAAAGTGGTTCACACCCATCTGTTTATTGAAAGTAAAATAATATTTATTTCGCTATTTCTTCGTGGAAGACATTTTATTGGCAACTTCACATATTTTAACTTATGTAGTCGCCACTGTAACTCTATAAATTGTGTAGCAGACCCTGCTATGGAGGAAATAGGTTTTCTGAGAAATACCTTTCCTGCAGTTCCTAATATTAGGTGACAGGACTGCCGGAATGTAAGGTCTCTGAGAGTGGAGGGTCCGGCCTTGTGCATTGTTTGATCCTCATCACCGATACTGGTACCTAGCACAAAGTGGACATTTCCATAATATTTACTCATTGAATACATAGACCAGGATTTATATCCAGGTCCATCTACCTCTAGAGAACACACATGTTCTTGGAGACACTGACGCAAAGTCAAATTTTAAATCATTTGGAATTTGGACGGAAACTTCTGTCCAGGGCAGGAGTTGGCAAAATTTTTCTATAAAGGGCTCTATAGTAAATATGTTAAGCAGGTTTCTGTGGCAACTGCTCAGTCTGCCATCATGGTGTGAAAGCAGTTATACACAACAGGTAAACATGAATGAGGCTAACTGCACTTCAGCAAAAAGTTATTTACAAAAGCAATGGCTAGAAACTACACTGACTGCAGTGTGCGGAGGCTTGCCAATGATCAGTAGGTGTTAAACTTCCACGGTTTATTCAACATGCAGCTGATCTCATGCTTTGCAAAATCACATCCATAACCTCACATGGCAACCTCACCTTAAACTTTCTCTCCTTTTTGTTATAAAAATGCCAGAATTATTTTGTATTATTTCTTTTTCATTCAGGTTGCTAGAATAAGATCTTTCGTTTTCCTGAACAATTTCCATGCATTCCTGTTAGTCATAAAACCCCCAAAGGCCTGACTGAAAAGTCATATCCATTAATAAGGGCAATCATGTCTAATAGAAGCTCTGATTCATTTCCCAGATGCAAGCACACAAACCAGGTCTGCTTACTCCAGATCTCAGACGCAAACGCGCAATAGCTGAGGTATTTTGCCAGTGAAGGAATAAAACATAGCCAGACTTCAGAAATGCAGAGAATCCAAAGATGATTTCAGTGTTCACTGGAAAATGAAAAACAACCAAAACTTCACACTGAATACACAAGGAAACCTATTTTTCAGTATCATTCAATGTTGAGATTATGTCAGCTAGGCCAAAATACTTAGTGCAGGGGTGTCATTTTTTTCATTTTTTTTCCCATTGTTGGGTTTATTTTGTTGATGTTAACCTTGAACTAATGAGAACTAAGTTCAGTCTTGAAAATAAATTCCACTGTTCACCTGGTATTGTTTTAGATCAATGAACTCTACTGAGGCCAGTCTACATCTCTGAATACAGGTAGAGACATTGTCTATACGTGTGAACTGTATACTCTCAGGAGTTGTAGAATTCCCAGTGGAAGGATCTCAGGTTTGGAGATAATGTTGTTCCCATCACTTACGATCATAAGCTCCAATGTTCTTGCCAAGGGAGAGAATAGAAATGAAAGATTGAAGCTGTTGTTTGATGAACAGCAATGAAAGAATGGTGAGAAACAGCAATGACCTGTGTCTGGGAAAAGGGAGCAGGCTCCTTCTTCAGACAGAGTCAGCTGAGACTCAGCTCTGCCTATCATTGCTCTGAAGGAATGCCTGGGTTTTCAGGTCATCTACTGTTACAGTGTTGTTGTGACATTTTCCAATTTATAAATATCGGTACCTTTGACTTGTTTTTTCCTCCATGAGAAAAGGGCCAAACTTCATACATATGACAGATGCATCTGGTCTAATGGTCATCTGCTCAGTTCTGCTCTATGAGGGCTAAGTTTTAGAGCTCTTCTTTCAATCATAAAGAAAATAATTTTAGGCAAAAAAAAAAAAAAGACAAATTAGCGACTATCTTAATGTAAGAGCAAGTTGAAAGGTTCTAGCAGCAAACACTGCAAACAGAGAAGTGGGAATGCTCTGCTTAGAAAGTCACCGTCATCACAGATGGGCCTTGTGGGTACCAGACAATAGGAGCAGTGAGGGCCCACATATTGTATGTCTAATAATTTGAGGTTATTTACCAAAATTTCTTGAGCAAAAATGTTCTATCCCCCATTCCCCCACAAATATACTTTCACAATGACAAAGTAAGCAGTGTATACAAATCTTCAATATTAACGATGTGAGCAGGCTATCAAAGACAAAGTGATTTCTTTAGCACTGTGAGTGTCTGGGTGTTGGATATGGTTTGACTGTGTCCCCACCAAAATCTCATCTTGAATTGTAGCTCCCATAATTCCCATGTGCTGTGGAAATGACCCAGTGGGAAGTAATTGAATAATGTAGGCAGGTCTTTCCCATGCTGTTCTCATGATAGTAAGTCTCACGAGATCTGATGTTTTATAAGGGGAGTTCCCCTGCACAAGCTCTCTTGCCTGCTGCCATGTAAGACACGCCTTTGTTCCTTCTTTGCCTCCCACCATGATTGTGAGTTCTTCCCAGCCTGTGGAACTGTGAGCCCATTAAACGTCTTTCCTTTATAAATGACCCAGTCTTGGGTATGTCTTTATTAACAGTGTGAGAACAAACTAATACAGTGTTCTCTTTATGGGCAGCAATATTCAGATGAGGAAAGATTTAAAATACATAGCATACAAATTGAACAGTAATGTGAATTTTTTTAATGTTACAAACTATTTTTCCTCTGCAGCTTTCCCCTGCAGCTTCAGGGAAGACTGGGCAAGGGTTTAAGGCCCTTTAGACCCACAAAACAGAGCAGCAGGAAGAAAGACAGTCAGCACCCTTGGAGAAGGAGGCTCCATTACGCAGGTTTGTGGCAACCTTGTGGCAGCCAGGCATGGCTGGCTAATTTGTCGTTTCTCTCACCCAAGGTCCACTTAAATCCTGCTGCACATCTAAGCAAGACCTGTGTCTGACATGACAGGAACTCAACCCAAATTTTTTCTTCATTTGGACATGATCTCTTCTTGTTTAGAGGACATTGGGGAAAGAGAGGTGGGAAAGAGTTGATTTTTGTCTGTGCAGCCTTTGTTATAAGAATGGACGTGGAAGATCACAGTCAGCAGTGCCACAGCTCAGAACGTTGGGTTTTCAAGGGTGAGGTGCTCATGTTCTCAGAAATAACTTTCTTTTGTGAATTTTTGTGAGTGTGCATAGGGGCGTGCCTGTAGGGGTGTGTGTGCGTGTAGGGTAGTGTTTGTGGGGGGTGTGTGCATTTGTGTAGGTGATATGGTGTGGTTGTGTCCAAATTGCATCTTGAATTCCCATGTGTTGTGGGAGGGACCCAGTGGGAAGTAATTGAATCATGGGGGCAGGTCTTTTTTTTGCTGTTCTTGTGATAGTCAGTCTCACAAGATGTGATGATTTTATAAGGCTGGGTGCAGTGGCTCACGCCTGTAATCCCAGCACTTTGGGAGGCCGAGGCGGGTGGATCACAAGGTCAAGAGATCGAGACCATCCTGATCAACATGGTGAAACCCCATCTCTACTAAAAATACAAAAAATTAGCTGGGCATGGTGGCGCGTGCCTGTAATCCCAGCTACTCAGGAGGCTGAGGCAGGAGAATTGCCTGAACCCAGGAGGCGGAGGTTGAGGTGAGCTGAGATCGTGCCATTGCACTCCAGCCTGGGTAACAAGAGTGAAATTCCATCTCAAAAAAAAAAAAAAAAAGATGTGATGATTTTATAAGGGGATGTTTCCCTGCACAAGCTGGGAAACATCTGTTCTCTGTTCGCCTGCTGCCATCCATGTAAGACCTGATTTGCTCCTCTTTGCCTTCTGCCATGATTGTATGGCTTCACTAGCCACACAAAGCTGTAAGTCCATTACAACTCTTTCTTTTGTAAAGTGCTCAGTCTCAGGTGTGTCTTTATCAGCAGCATGAAAACAGACTAATGCAGTAAATTGGTATCAGTAGAGTGGGGTGCTGCTGAAAAGATACCTAAAATCGTGGAAGTGACTTTGGAACTGGGCAACAGGAAGAGGTTGGAATAGTTTGGAGGGCTCAGAAGAAGCCAGAAAAGTGTGGGAAAGTTTGGAACTTTCTAGAGTCTCAATGAATGGCTTTGTCCAAAATGCTGATAGCCATATGAAGAATAAAGTCCAGGTTGAGGTGGTCTCAGATGGAGATGAGAAACTTCTTGGGAACTGGAGCAAAGCTGACTCTTGTTTAGCAAGGAGACTGGCAGCATTTTGCTCCTGCCCTAGAGATCTGTGGAACTTTGAACTTGATGGAGATGATTTAGGGTACCTGGTGGAAGAAATTTCTAAGCAGCAAAGCATTCAAAGGGTGACTTGGGTGCTGTTAAGGGAATTCAATTTTATAAAAGAAGCAGAGCATGAAAGTTCAGAAAATTTTCAGCCTGACAAGGTGATAAAAAAGGAAATCCATTTTCTGAGGAGAAATTCAAGCTGCATAAATGTGCATAAGGAACAAGGAACCAAATGTTAATCCCAATGAAAATGGGGAAAATGTCTTCAGGGCATGTCAGAGGTCTTCACGGCAGCCCTTTCCATTATGGACCCAGAGGCTTAGGAGGAAAAAGTGGTTTCATGATCCAGGCTGGGGTCCCCATGCTGTATACAGCCTAGCGATTTGGTGCCCTGTATCCCAGCCACTCAAACCACGGATAAAAGAAGCCAACATAGAGTTTGAGCCATAGCTTCAGAGGATGAATGCCCCAGGCCTCGGCAGCTTCCATGTGATGTTAAGCCTGCGAGTACACAGAAGTCCTGAATTGGAGTTTGGAAAACTCCACCTGGATTTCCATTCAGAGGCTGTAAGGAAATACCTGGATGTCCAGGCAGAAGTTTGCTGCAGCAACAGGGTCCTTATGGAGAATCTCCTCTAGAGCAGTGCACAGGGGAAATGTGTGGTTGAAGCCCCCATGTAATGTCCCTACTGGGGCACTGCTAGCAGAGCTTTGAGAAGAGGGCCACCTTCCTCCAGACCCCAGAACGGTTGATCCACTGACAGCTTGCATCATGCACCTGGAAAAGCTATAGACACTCAACGCCAGTTTTGTGAAAGCAGCCTGGATGGAGGGCTGTACCTGCAAAGCCACAGGGGTGGAGCTGCCCCAGACCATGGCAACCTACCTCTTGGCATTGGCATAACCTGGATGTGAGACTCAGAGTCAAAGGAGATTATTTTGGAGCTTTCAGGCTTGACTTCCCTGCTCAATTTTGGACTTGCTTAGAGCCTGTAGCTCCTTTGTTTTGGCCAATTTCTCCCATTTGAAACAGTTGTCTTTACCCAATGCCTATAGCCCCATTGAGTCTAGGAAGTAAGTAACTTGCTTTTGATTTTAAGGCTATATGCAGAGGGGACTTGCCTTGTCTCAGATGAAACTTTGGATTGTGGGCTTTGGAGTTAATGCTGAAATGAGTTAAGACTTTAGGGGACGGTTGGGTAGGCATGATTGTTTTTGAAATGTGAGGACATGAGATTTCAGAGGGGCCAGGGGTGGAATGATATGGTTTGGCTATGTCTCCACCCAAATCTCAGCTTGAATTCCCATATGTTGTGGGAGGGACCCAGTAGGAGGTAACTGAATCATGAGGGCAGTTCTTTCCTGTGCTGTTCTCATGATAGTGAATAAGTCTCACGAGATCTGACAGTTTTATAAGGAGGAGTTTCCCTGCACAAGCTCTCCTTTTGCCTGCTGCCATCCATGTAAGACGTGACTTACTCCTCCTTGCCTTCTGCCATAAGTATGACACCTCCCTAGCCGCCTGAAACTGTAAATGCATTAAACCTCTCTTTCTTTTGTAAATTGCCCAGTCTTGAGCAATTTATTAGCAGCTTGAAAACAGACTAATACAGTAAATGTGTATGTAAGTAAATGTGTCTGTGTAGGTATGTATGTGTAGATGTGTGTATGTGTGTGTATTGATGTATATGTATGCAGGGGTGTATGCATGTATGATTGCATGCAGATGTGCGTGTAGGAGTGTTTTTCTTTAGAGTTGTTCTTGTACGGGTGTGTGTGTATAGGGTTGTGTGCAGCTGTGTATGTGTATAGGAGTGTACATGTGTATGCATGTAAATGTATGTATATAGGTGTGTGTATGTAGGGGTGTATGTATGTATGCACATGTGTGTAGGGGTATTTGGGTATGTAGGAGTGTGTGTAGAGTTGTGTGTGTAGGGATTTGTGTGAAGCTGTATATGTATTTGGATATGTTTGTGTAGGGGTGTGTGTAGGGAGTATGTTAGGGGAGTGTGTGTATAGGTGTGTGTTGGGGTGTGTGTAGGGGAGTGTGTGTGTAGGTGTGTGTTGGTGTGTGTGTAGGGGTGTGTGTTAGGGAAGTGTATGTGTAGAGGCATGTATGTGTGGTGTGTGTGTGTCTAGAGGTGTGTGTGTAGGGTGTGTGTTAGGGGAGTGTGTGTGCTGGTGTATTTATAGAAGTGTATATGTAGGGTGTGTGTGAAGGGAGTGGGTACATCTAGGGGTGTGTGTCTAGGTGGGTGTATAGGGGTGTGTGTAGGGTGTGTGTTAGGGGAGGG